CCAGTTGCGTACCAGCAGTTGCAATACCAGCAGTACTGTTGCGGTTGAAAGAACGGTCAGCAAGACTATTTGAAATCCTTGTTTTAAAGCACGCGGGCAACAATATTCTGAAATGGTCGCGTGGGTATAGATAGGTTCTTCACGTGTATACACACGCACGCACACACACGCACATAAACGCACGCACGGACACATGAACGCACGCACGTACAGACGCACGCACGCGCGTCTAAATTTACGCGTAGCCGCGTCTGTACACGGCGCGCACTGTGATTACACGCGAGTTAATTTCGCCGAACAATCTCGAGATGTTTTTGTTGTTCGACTATTTAGCCGATCGCGAGCCGAGGTGCGAGAATTTCGCTGGCGAGCGCCGCCCACGGGTCATCTGGGCGCTGAATAAAACTTGATTTACCTCGTTAACTCGCTCTAGCCGAGCGAGAATAAATCATTACATAATCACTCTCCATACACAAACACACGCACACACACATACATACACACACACAGACACACGCCCACACACACGCACACACACAGACACACGCACACACACACACACCACACGCACGCACGCACGCACACACACACACACACGCACACACACACACGCACGCACGCACGCACGCACGCACGCACACACACACACACACACACACACACACCTTGCACGCGTACATGTGATTTAGGCGTAGCATCGTGAGTGAATTGCGCGAGGTAAAACGATCGATTTTGAAGCGTTGTGGCAAGGCTAAATTAGAGCGGAACCGCGGGGGCAAGTCGGTGTGCTAGTCTATCCCTCTGCTGACTGATTCATTCACCCTTGATAACATGTCTCGGATCGTTTCTGGCGAGTTTGAGCGAGGAGAACAATTAAAATCAAATTTCTTATTGCATAGCGTCTGGCATCCAATGAAATGTACTGCGCTGCTGCCTCAGTCATAAACTTATTAAGTCGAAAAAAACACCGCTTCTCTCATACACCATCATCGCACGATGTATATATAGATGTACTTAATATATATATATAATATATTATATATATATATATATATTATATATTATATATAAAGATGTGTAATTTAATGATAAAACAAATCTAATAACACGACTGATCGGTCTTCTTTGGTTTATAAAGAGGATGAGATCAGTATCATCGCAATGGCAATTAAAACATCCGTAACAAGCCTGAACAAGCTCTTTTTGCTAATAAAGTTTTTGGACTTCGCTCATCGTTTCCGGTCTTTCGTCGCAGAAAAAAACACGCGCTGGAGAGGAGAACCGCTGTGCTCCGCTGCGTCCCTCCCAATCGGCAGGCGTGCGCGACCGTCTCTAAGATGCCACTAAAAATCACCGCGGGTTTTTTTTAAGGCAGGGGAATTTAAATTGGCGTGGGATGCACGCGCGGGCGCTGGTGAATGACGAAATTCAAAAGAAATAAAAATATAGGGCGCGCTGCACGTGTTGACGTGTCAGTATCTTGGGCGATGTGAACCGTTTATCGGTACACTGCAATCATGAGTAACTGCCGCCATTAACATGTATTCATGTAGTCATGCAGTCACTGTCAGGCTGAAGGGTTTATAGTCCCCAGGCGTAACTGCGGAAGTACCCTGGTATATACGTAATTGCCGGACCGCGTACCTCGCCTAACTCCACTAACCGAGTCTAGGAGTCGCCTACGTCTTACTCCTTAACCCTAACCCTAAACCCTGACCCTAACCCTAACCCTAACCCTACCCTAAACCATATCAAATAGTCTACAGGGTACGCTCCGGCAGTACCCGGGAGACATTAAGACCCTATGAGCGTCACGCTGTCATACAGGGATGTATTCATGTAGTCATGCAGTCATAAAATTATATTCATGTAGTCATGCAGTCATGTATTCATGTAGTTGTGCAGTCATATATTCATGTAGTCATGTATAGTCATGTATTCATGTAGTCATGTATTCATGTAGTTGTGCAGTCATATATTCATGTATTCATGTAGTCATATATTCATGCAGTCATGTATTCATGTAGTCATGTATTTATATAGTCATGTATTTATGTAGTCATGCAGTCATATATTCATATATTCATGCAGTCATGTATTCATGTAGTCATGTATTTATGTAGTCATGCAGTCATATATTCATATATTCATGCAGTCATGTATTCATGTAGTATTGCAGTCACAGCATGCAGTCATATATTCATGTAGTTGTGCAGTCATGTATTCATGTATTCATGTAGTCATGCAGTCATGTATTCATGTAGTTGTGCAGTCATGTAGTCATGTATTGATGCAGTCATGTATTCATGTAGTTGTGCAGTCATGCAATCATATAGTCATGTAGTCATGCAGGGATGTATGCACACAGGCATTTATAGGAGATGTAGACGGAATAGGATGTAGTATGAGTGGTTTATTCCCGGTTGGCCTACTCCCATTTCGCCTACGGCAAAATTCCCATTTCGCCTACAGCAAAATTCCCAGTTGGCCTACACCCATTTCGCCTACTCCCAATTCGTCTACGCTCAAAATCTACCCCATTCCCATTTCGTCTACGATCGGTTTGTTCACTAAATAATCATTTATAAATAATGAAATGTGGTTTTGATTGGCATACATTGACTACAGGAACCAGAAGAAAACATACGTACAAATAGTGAGAACACAACTTGACAAAACTAGAAAATACAGTAGCATAAATGGGAGTAGGCGAAATGGGAATATTGCCGATTCTGAGAGTAGACGAAATGGGAGTAGGCGAAATGGGACGTAGGCGAAATGGGAGTAGGCGAAATGGGAGTAGGCGAAATGGGTGTAGGCGAAATGGGAGTAGGCCAACTGGGATGTTACCGTATGGGAAAATTGTAGCCACAATTTTCTGCACCCTTTGTCCCGTGGCCATTTCTCCATCGCAGATATTCGTCCTAACCTCTGTTTTCAACGTATTTTGAGCAGTGCAAACTATGTGATTAGAAAGCATTTTGTTTCACTCGGCTATGATAAGGTTGGGAGGGGGTTGGGTACACGGGTTGGCAAAAATCGTGTGGTACTCATGCATATATGATTTTTGGCATTCCAACTTCTCTCCTAATGTGTGGTTATAAATCGTCATTACAGATTACAGGAGGTGCGGAGTGAACCGCTAACCAGCATTATACTGGCGCAGACGAGACCTTGTCAATAGTTATTGGCAAAACAGTAGGTATGCGGCTGCCACCGCGCTAGACCCTCGAGCACCACCGCAGCAAGAGGTCTCAAATCATCGCTGCGGTGGCGCCACTGTACAGTCGAGTCGAGCTGCAAAGTTTTCCTGCCCAATTTTTTTCGAGATTTTCGCGTTTCGAGTGTTCTGCACCCTCGCTCGTGCGCAGCGCGCGACTATATACTACATACTAGTGTGGCGTACGTACGAGCTTAACCCTTTCACCTATCAGCGGATGGTGCTGAGCCAGCAGATCGGATATAGACTTCCCGCTTGATGCCGAACGTGACGTACGAGGAGTGGAGGCGCGCCGGATCTCCGAAATCCGGATCCGCTTCGTCTGCGTTGCTGTTGACGCTGCGGCTTGACAACCGGTCGGACTCTGTCACGTGATACGCCTGCGCCGCCGCGCGCGGTGCGTGTGCGTGTGTGTGTGTCGACGCGCGAACTTTGTCCGTTTTCGAAAGGCGCTCATTGTTCTAGTTTTCATTGTTAGATGATGATTCCTTGAGGATGAAGGGCTGCCGGCGGGTAACTTAAGAGCCTTGTCAACGCCGCGATAGACGCTCTACGCCGGACATAGATTATATTAGTTAAGCTATACATATATGTGCCGCCGCCAGACGAACATACACGTCTACGGCGCATGCGCTAACTCGCAGACGTGGCGCAGACGAGTTTTCCCCCACGCATCGCCGGATAAAAACGCTTATGTGAATTAATGTCGGGGTAGATGCCACGTTGTCTAATCAATTAATATGTTCCAGTTATGTTATACCGTAGACACGCGAATTAAGTAATTAGTGATTAGATTTGAAGACGTGATTTATTTCAAAAATTCAATCGCCTTCGCTCATAGAGGCATGACATCTTTAGAAAATGATGAACCTTTGTCTGTGAATACCAGTTACAAACACGGCGAGTTTTATAAGCAAATCATTATTCGTAATTTATTTGGTTTTGTAAAATTATAATCATTATTATCACAAGTATATATGTCTATATATTTCTATATACGAACGCAGATTTAGTTGAAATATCGAGTATCGATATGAAATCTGAATATCGATTGAAATAAACGAAATACGGACATATATATTACGTCTATAGATCCACCTAGCGGATAATGTTCACCGGAATTAAACTACATACAGAGATGTGCATCACGAAGAACTAGCAATTTTTATTTGGGTTATGGTCAAACTCGATCAGCTACAGGATATAAATGACAATTTTTTCTGTTTAAATTCCTGTTTAGGGGGAAGGGGTACGAGAGGAAAACAGTGACCTGATTGCTCACCGTGATAAACACAGTGGCGATTATTGTGTGTATATATAGTCACATTGCCCCGCTCACATATGCGGGTAATAGCAACGAGCTCTTGCGTATATATATATATATATATATATATATTATGCACTCATATATCTATATAGGTATATCGTCGACCCTAATTTTACGACAGTTACTCTTAATTACTCTTATACGGATACACGAGTCGCACTGTGTGGTTAGATATAATTTATATGCACGTAAAGGATCAAAATTAATACCTAGCAATCAAATAAATACGTAGTATTTATCATAATCGGAGACAGTCTATAGCCGTCTTTCCTAAGACTGATTTCACGCGCTGGCATAGTGATGTGTCTGCCCACAGATAGAAAGAGAGAGAGAGAGAAAGAGAGAGAGAGAGACAGAGTGAGAGACAGTGTGTGTGTGTGTGTGTGTGTGTGTGTGTGTGTGTGTGTGTGTGTGTGTGTGTGTAAGCCAGAGGGAGAGGGAGAAAAGCGATAAATAGAGAGAGCGCGAGAGAGAGATGGGGAAAGAGGAAGGAACGAGAGAGAGAGAGAGAGAGAGAGGGGTGGGGCGTAGGCGTAGTGATTAGATGAACCGCACTTGCTTATGATTCTGATGTGTAATTATGTTGATAGAGATGGTCGAGCGATGGATAGCCGACACGCGGCGATAGAAATCAGCTAGATCATTACCGAACGAAGGAATCCGGACAGGAGGAAGAAAACACGGAATATGATATCCGATGGGGAGACATCGCACAGGCCAGAGCGATCACAAGGGGGTTGTTTTTTAAAGATACGAGCTGCCTTAAATAAAACCGGAAACCGGATGTCGGCATCGTCGCGAATTGATGCCGACGTCATCAGAGGAACGTCGCGCGCGGTGCGCATGCGCGCTCCGGCGCCACATTTTCTTACGCACCGGTAAATGAAATTGCATCGTGTGCCTCAGATAGAAATAAGAATGGCAGTCCCTCTCACGTGCATGCGCGCGCGCACTTTCTACACTACGCTACACGCGGTTCGCCCTTCGCCTCTCAAGCTAAAAGAACAAATAGGTAGTACTTGGGTGGAGTTTTTATGTGTTTGCGTCTGTACCCTCTCGATAAACATTAGACGACCATGTGTCGTATTCGTACATGCGCGAGAAATTGACGAGAAAGTGTGGGGTAGGGGGGCGAGAATGACTGTAGAGGCATATAACCGATAAGGCGAACCGATCACGTAGAACGCATTGCACGACCGCGAGAGGGAGCCTGTGAGTCAAATCCGTCGATATCTCTGTGTGAGGCGCACGCAGCGTGGTTTCCCTTCGTCGTCTGGCTAGTGAAATAGCCAGACCGATATTCAACTCCTTTCACAACTCAAGCGTCACCGCTTGCGTAGTACGGTGGGGAACAGATCACAAGCGTAATCCGGTTCCACAGAGAGTGACTGATTCAGGATGCTCAGAGGAGTTGCTGCCGGCGGCGTCTATCAGAAGACAGCACAGCCCCGACGGCTGGTGTCTGGTTATCTACTGGTCTAGCCGATGAAGGAAAACCCTCTGGGTTCGCATTTGCAGTTCTGTCCCCACAGATTACATTTGCAGATGTATCTTGAACAGCAGTCGTTGCGTCTCAGGCTGCAGCGCCGCCCGTGGCCGAGGCACATCCGTCTGCAAGAAGAGATCGGGTGTAGTATGAATGCGATTATTTCAACCGAGTAATGGCGCTGAAAGCCATTATTGCGCACACGGAAGGAGGGACAGCGTACGCTCATTAAAAGGGAACGAATATGAAAGCAAATTTGTTTTTATTCACACCGGATTATTACCACGCATTTTTAGCGGTCGCGTGACTGATACGGATACCCTTGCATTATACTAATGAGCATATATTATACATGCATGCGGATCTTGATTTGTCGGTTCCAACTGCTCGTCCGATGATATTATCTGTCATATGATTATTATTACACATTCAACTTTCTATGGTCGTAATCACACTTATTTATAACGGAAATGTCATTATGGTCGAGCGCGCGGGCGGTTTACAAACCAAATGTCAAATGATGCGAGAAACCAGTAGATAATGCCCGCACTGACAACACGGCCGCTTACACGAATGTGTCGTACAGGATTAGGCGCACGCGCCGCGGTTTCACGTAAGAACATAGATGTTGACATACGTGATATACGTGATATACGTGATGAGCGAGCAGTTCATCAACGAGCGAACGAAAATTCGCAGACGTAGACGACGAAATTCAAAACCTTTGGTCGAGCCAAGGCTTCGGAGGGAGGTAATGGACCGCATTATACCCTACTATACTCTAATCTGCTCTACTTTACTCTACTCTACTCTACTCTACTCTACTCTACTCTACTCTACTCTACTCTACTCTACTCTACTCTACTCTACTCTACTCTACTCTACTCTACTGCTATACGTCTCATATTCGCATCTTCGCCTGTTTATATGATACTGAAGAAGCGTGCATCGAGAAGCGGCGGTCGCTCCCTGGAACCTCCGTAACGGCGTCCGTCCTCTTTTTCGTCGGCGGTAAACGGCATCGGTACTAGTCACCAGAGTGTCAATTCTTGTTATATTACACACTCGTAAGCGGACGCACGCGTATGCTGTCACACACAAAAGTTGACACACGTATTTATACCCCCTATATATACTATCAAGAGCGTATTAAGAAGGTATCCTTCTTTATACGCTCGTGATACTATATAGTACATTATAATCCTTTATATACCATATTCGCTCAAATGAGTGCTCAACGCGCCATCTAACGGAGATGATTGGATCTATTATAGCACTGGTGTTTTCTGCGTTGCCACTCCTGACATCGGTAAGTTTTCGCCACTCATCGTCATCTGGTTTGGACTTCTGGCCCAATTCGCCCCCTCACAATTCCGATTTCCCGTTGACGAACCGTTCAGCGAAAGTAAAAGTAAAAGTTATTACCAGTTGATGACGCAATTCCTAGTCTAACACAGGTTCACCCGCTTGATTTTGTTTTGTCTTCGTTCCATCTGAAATTAAATTTACTCTGAAATGTTAAGACTGATTCATTTTGACTAGGCGCTTTGACCGAAATATCAAGCGCCTGTCTAGTTTAAAGACTGCAAAATTGGATACCATTAAGAACATTTGTTTCATTTCGCTATCATGTAAACTTTGCGGATTAATCATGCGTAAAACAGTTGATAGGACCTCATTATTTTAATCTTCATGCGAATACGTGTGTGCTAATGTGCGTGCGCATTAGGGACCTGTCATGTCCAATTTATACTTAAGATCCGAACGAGATTGCGTTTAATTTTTTAGCGGTCATGCGCACTCTCTCGCTTTAATAAAGAATCCGTGCGTGTCAGCACATGCCTGCTCCCGCAAGAGCAGTTCTTGCAGTAGTATCGACTTCAGCGGTATATAGGAGCAGGCCGCGCAGCGTGGGCGGAATTTTCCGGCATTCAACTACGCAGTCTGTGTACAAGTTCCTTATGTTATTACTTCCGGGCTATGATCTATGATTTTGTAAGTACGGAATTCGTCGAATCGTCGCATTGATTTTTGGTGCGACTCGGCAGCGGGTGAGAGAGTTGAGTGGCGGCCGCATGGCAGTCACAACCAGGCGGTTAGTCTCGGCCAGCAGCGCACGCAAACAGAAACGCCATCCATCAGAGTCTGTGCCCGTCGCCGCCGCCTCCATCTTACAGCTAGCCAGGGCTTCACGACCGTTTGTATGTGTGTGTGTGGGTGTCACGGTTGAAATGTCACTGTATGGCGCTTGCAAGGCTCGTAAGCCAACGAATGCGTTTTGAAAATTGGTTTAAATAGTAGGATGACATGCTGTAGGCGTGATATGACGTGTGTGTGTGCGTGTGTGCGTGCGTGCGTGCGTGCGTGCGTGCGTGCGTACGTGCGTGCGTGTGTGTCTGTGTAGTAAATAAAGAGAGCGAGACGCTTGCGCGGCAGTGAAAAGTTTAAACAAAGAGCTAAAACAGAGAGGGAGAGAGAGAGAGCATGGAGGAAAGCGAAAAGGAAAGAGAAGGAGAGAGGGGAGGAAGGACTGCGCACGAGGAAGGGCGAGAGAAAGAGGGCGGCGGAGGATGAGATTGACAGCAGGAATATGAGAGGGAGAGATGGAGAGACGGAGGGTCGTTATTTCTGTGTACATTGGCAATTTGTGAGGAACGTATTTTGTGAGGTTTGCCTCCTATTACTTTATCATACAAAACTGCGATGCTCGTACATGACATATACACCTACGTCTGCAGAACACGCACTCGGACACAAGGCGTTATCATTATCATCAACACAACTTCCAATTCAAATAGTTCCGTTGCAAGATTCAAGACGATTACCTTAATACTGTTTTACTCATTATGCGTGTGTTCCACTCCACTTCAATACAGTGCATACGCCTTATAATAATGTATATATTTAATGTGTCGATTCTCATTTGCTACAGTAACGAGAACAAGAATGAAGTAAATGAAATGGAAAATAAAATCTTATTTTAGCAGTATTCATCTTGGGAGTGAGGAAAGAAAATTAAATAATGAAATTAATTAAAGTCTTGATTATCAAAAGGCGTAGTCCTATAAACAGAATTCTTCTACAAATGTGATTAAATTCCTGATTTCAGATATTTAAAGAGATTTAGAAGTAAAGCAAAGCCTTTTAAAGCAAGGATATCTCGTGTTATTACCAACCGTTTACTTATTGATACTTACCGGTACATAACACCAAGTGTTTATAATAAGGTTAACATGGCATAGAACGCACGCACATCATTCTTTTCAGCAGTGTGTGCACTAATCTGCATTTCAAATTAGATTTATTTATAAATGTCAACAAAACTAGCGCGTGACTTTTGCTTTCCCGAGATGCCATTGACCTGACTCTGTTTTTACGCTAGGTGACTTGACTTTGTATATATTTCGAGATCGGAACCAGCCTATAAATATTTGCGTCACGTAACTACGTCCACTTGTTTTGTCGGAGCGCTAGAAAATCCCATTATCGCGAATCTCAAGATAGCAGGCTCACGTTTGCTGTTCATTTATTGTTTTATAGCCTATAGCAGCAGAAAGTCGTAATAATCTCTATGCTGAAGTAATCAGCAATATGTACGCAGGCAGGCGAAACTAAACTTGTATTCATTAATCAATTTCTTGATGTAGTTGTGAGATGATAATTTTAACAGTTTACCGCGGCATCAACGGATTTCATGTCTATGGCAAGTCTTATGCTCTGTCTATGTTCATTTTCCGCTAGCGGTGCATTACGCACGCGCGCGAACTAGGACACGGGCATGTATACGTACGCCCGCCAGTCCACCAGCCCGTACGCGAACGGATCAACTCGCACATCACACTCACACTAAGCCCGCTCTCGCGCACGCTATCGAAGAAACACGCATGCTAGCGAAGAAACACGCACGCCAACGAAGAAACACGCACTTGCACATAAACGCCCAAGGACGTACGCACCACGCACGCGCCCAGCCGCGCATGCACAGACGCACGCACCCACCCGCGCATGGACGCACGCATCACACACTCGAGCGAGGAGACACGCGCTCGCGTACGCCCACCATGCGCACGCACGCCGACGCACGCACGCATGCACGCGCCGTAACTGATTTTGATCCGCCGTCGAAGTGACAAGTGGCTCGCAATCATATTATATATACATGAGGCGGCGCTGTCGCTAAATGACGCCATAATTGCCTTCACGTAGGACGGCTTACAACGCTGAGCGCATGCACAGACGGTAAATACGCACGCGGATACACTAATGTCACAAGCACACGCGCGACCCGACACGCACGCTCTTCGCTCGACGCAGGTATTCCTTTGTCATTAGACTCAAGCAGGATTTACTAAAGGTTTTCGATGATCACGTTATAGGGTACACGCTTGTGTTAGGGTATCATTATAAAACCTACCGCCAATATCGTTTATTTATAGAGTATGCGCTATGGAATTTCTCTCCTTTAAGGTCACATGTGTACATATATATGTATATGTATATATATATATATATGCATATATACGCAACTACACACACACACACACCTCGCGCGCACACACACACACACACACACACGACACGATCACACACACACACACAACGTGCAGCGCGGCGATGACGCCGCGCGCGCGAGCGCGCACGCACCGCACGCACGCACCGCAGGGGCGCACGCGACGCACGCACGACCACGCCCGCACGCACACCCACACACACACACGCGCGCCGCAGCCGCGCACGGGCAACCGCACCGCCGCGACGCACGTCACACTCAGCACTCACATATATATATTTCTTCGATAATGCTTATAGATAATTAATAATGAATTATAGATAGATAATTCCTGCGTGTTTCTGCCCATTTGTTCTACGACCTGTTTAATTTAACGTGGAGCGGGACGCACACACCAATTACAAACAGCGCGTGATAAACTGGACGGCCCTAGCTGCTGGTTAACTGGTGCGGTGCTGCTGCTGCTGCTGGCTGGCGGCTACCTTCTAACTCCTGCTGCTAACTATTACTGTTCTAACGTTATTACTACTACTACTACTAGCTACTACTACTACTACTACTACTCTACTGACTACTACTACTACTACTATATCTACTACTATCTACTACTACTAT